AACTCTATCTTGTCCTGCAGCTGTAATCAGAAGCTTTATGATGAAGTTCAGCTGGAAGAGCAAAGGAGAGGAGGAAAAAAACCCAAACCCCAAAACAAAACAAGGGAATGCCATCAAAGTCTTTTAAAGGCAGAAATTCATTTTACCTTTGTCAATGACTGTGGTTTTCAAGGATAAAGATCAAAGGGATGACCGTGGGCAGAGCTATGACAAACGCCGAGATCAGTCTGTTAAACCCTAGCATTAGTGCTACAGTTAGACTGGTGTCTAGACTAGCAGTGGGTACTCATGCCAGGTTTGGCAAACACGGCAGCGCAGCGCTTGCATCAGAGCTGTAGCAAGAAGAGTGAGGCATCCAAATTGCAGAGGGGAGGGAGCAATCAGGCTCCAGCAGCGTGGAACTGGAAAAGGGAAGTTTAGGAAAACAACACACCAACCAGCCCAAAATACCCCCACAAAATACCTTCAGATTATTGCTTGAGCTCAGGGAAAGAGAGCTGAGAAGATGCATCCCCCCTTCTGGTTTTCACATGGTGATTAATGTACACCGAAAGCTTAGATAACTGGGGGAAAGTAATGCCAAATTCTTATCAATACAGATGAGCTGGCTTCGTATTTCTCCAGCCCTTTCATGTGGAAATGAGACTGCATCTGATGGGGCCAAGCCCATGTTTGAAATAGCTCAGCTGGGATGTGCGCGTGGTGAGGGTTCAGGTGCTTGCACAGAGAATTGCTAGAGATGGATGGAAAAGGGAAGAACTTTCCCAAGAGCAGAGGGTGCTTCAGCTTCCTCACTTTTTGCCTTCCTAGGGAAGACAGAAAGTCCTTGGTGTGTGGCATAAAGGTGTGCTGAAGTCTGAGCTGATGGACTGTGCAAGGAGGTAAGGTGGCTTTAGCTGGTGAGGGGGTTTCCATGTTCCTCCAGACACCTCTTGCACAGACCCTGCACATCCCAAAAGAGGAAAGTGTATGAATGAGAGGAGTACACACACCTTTACAGCAGCTCCTGTTAGTATGCTTGAGGCCAGCCCTGCTCTCACTCCTTCCGCAGGGCATGTGCTTGCTCCAAGGCTGCAGGCTTGGATGGAGGAGAAAGAAGTGACAGCATCACTCCGTGTATGGCATCCTAAGCCTGGCTGAGTCTGGGGCCCTCCTGGCCTGAGAACGCCACACAGGATGGGTACAGGGATAATGCATGTTGCTGGACTGCCACCATCACTAGAGTATCATAAAACTCCCCAGATCCTTCAAACCAACCATTTCTCATCATAGTTACTTTCTATTCCACCAGTCATGGCAAGTTCAAAAGAAGCTGCAAACTAATGTGGGCAAATATAATCTCCAATGGATGAATAGATACTGGAGGAAACAGTTTCATAAACCCAGCTGGTTTCAGCTGTGCTTTACACAGAGGCTTGCATTGCCTGTTGTCAGGAGTGTGGCATCATACTTGCTAGAAACCATCAGCTAAGGGTTAGACTGGTCCATATGCTATTCTCAGCTCTGCTACTGACTCACCTGCATGGCCCTGGGCAAGTGGCTTGCATATTTGTGCCTTAGTTTACCCACTGGTAATAGCAGAGATAGTAACAGTCTCACAGAGTGCTGTGAGAATTAGTTAATTAATATTTGGAAAACAGCTTGTGCCTTGACGTCTTTGTGCCTTTGTTTACCCACCAGTAATATCAGAGATAATAACTGTCTCATGGAGAGGTACAAGGGTTAATTAATTATTTGAAAAGCAGTTTGAGATCCTTGGATGAAAGATGCTAAGTAAAACATATCATTAAAACCATCTCCTGGTCCTCTGTGAAGTTAAAATAAAGCTGGAGCTTCTTAGTCATTCAAATAATGAAACCATAAATACTGTTTATTTTAATCTTCCCTTTAAGAAAATAATCTCATCTAGGCAGTGATACCAGCCAAAGAATGAAAAATGTTTCAGATTCAGGAGACCTATCAATTTCAAGAGCTTGATTCTTAATTGCTTTTTGATTTCTATCAATGGAAAGTGAGAGCAATTGTATTTACAAATGCCTGCAAAAGCACAGGGCAGCTGGCAGGACACCCACAGCTCCTCTGCAGGGTTTCAGCCTGTATATTCACATGGATACGGCAGCTGTACATTGCGCTGCACAGGGTTTCTCACACCATCGAAGCAGATGATCTTATTTGACTTGTTAACCAATAGGGAGGTGTAGACTTCATCTTAAACGCACGTCAAAGCCAGCTTCCCACTGCACCAAAGCATGGGTGCACAAAGTAGGGTTGCAGGAGCAACTTCTCCTCCCAGGAATGGTGCCAATTCAACCAAGCAAAGGTGCTGCTCATCAGCCATTGATCCATTCAGCCTTTTGCATCCTGGGCGGCTTGTGCTGCTTGTCTCTCCTAAAGCTCAGCACTGAGTGTGTGCTGTGAGCCAGTGCTCTGCCCAGATCTATGGGGAGAGAAATCCCTCACTGACACCGGGAAGGAACAGTAGGAGAATCGATGGAGTCTATATTTAAAATCATATTTTATTCACAAGTGTACATGCCAAATGTGGAAAACCCTCTGCTACTTCCCTGGGGACTTACTGTATATTGGGGCATCAAATATGTCCCAGTTGGCCTGTGTTTTGTCTCTTTCTCTCTAGTTTTTGTGCATGTTTTGTTTTACAAAGTAGATATGTGAAGAAGAGGGTTGAAGGATCAAGGTCACTGTGTTTAACTGGACGAGGCTTCTTTTAGGGTGCAACTACTGCCGGGAACCTGCTGTGCTGGGCACCCGAACCACCACTTGAGCCTTCCACTAGCTCAGAGAACCCTGTCTCAGCCTTTTCATGGCCTCCCACTCCTCTCTGCCCATAGAAAGTTTGCAGCAATTGCCAAGTAACCTGTGTGGGAACATGGGGAGGAAAAAAGGATGTAATTGCCTTTCTGAGCTCCAGCACCTTCATTAGTTAAATGTCCTCCTGTCTTTTCCATGCTAGTCCAGCTTCTACTGAATTTTCATCAGACCAAAAGAGGCCTTTAGGGTCATTTGAAAGTAACCATCAGATAAAAGCAACTGTCATCCTCCTTATGCAGCAGGCAAGGAAGCAGACACAGGTAGACTGGTCACACAGGAAGGAGAGGAGGGACCTGGTGACTCAGAGCTTTTGATTCCCAGCTGTCAGCTTTAGACGCCATACCAGCCAAGTATAAAAGCACATGGTTATCTCTGACCTCATGAATAATCCCACTGATTTAAGCCATAAACATTAGCATCAGGGCCTTAACCACGTGGCTGTGCTCACCAAGAGCAGATAAACAGGAGCGCAGCTATGGACAGGCCCAAGATACTCTTCTTGAAATAGAGGAATCGCAGCAAACCTGGTGCAGGTTTCTAAGAGAACCACCAATGGGGATGCAAAGGTGGCTTGGTCCCCAAGATGACAGGTCCCTTAGGGGTGATGCAGCTCCTGTGCCAGCCCCAGAAGCTCTCTCCACACTGGAAACAAGTGGAGGTGTCCATCTCCTTCACAATTAGCCTGTTGGATGCATTGAGGGCGCTGCTTAGCTGGCTGCAGTGACATTGACCTTAATGGTGATTCCCCAGAGCACAATGCCCAGATGATATGACCCCAGTCCTCACACTTTGCTGGGGGGGAAAGGGGCATTTGCATATATGATGATACCAACTGTCCTCTCCTGACTTGGATTTAATGAGTTCCTTATCCCTTTGCTCACACAGAATTGGGAAATGACCTGGTTATGAAGGAATCTCACCCACAAGCAGAGCTATCCCTCAAAACTCCACGACCCAGTTCGGGATACAGTTTACTCCCCAGCAGCTGCTTTTGACCTTGCCTTTCTAGCAAAGGGCTAAGAGATCAAGGGGAACAAGGAGGAAGCTGTGCTCCTGTTGTTGATGGGAGAGCGAGTGAAGCAACCTAAATTATACACGGCGTTGCCTACCACCAGATGGTTGGAGCGTCTCTGCCTTCTATTATGCAAAGCAATAGTTTCACAGACAAAGTAGAGGGGACCAGAGATACCAGAGCATTTGGGAAACATGTCCCATAGCTGACTGAAAAGTGTGTTTTACTTCGAGCTGGTAACATGGCATTTTAGCTGGATGCCTGCGGTTCAACCCTTCCCTGGAGGTGAAAGGTGTCAGCTCTGCCTCAGAGCGAGCACAGAGACTGTGAACCCAACCAGAATTGGAGCAGTGATTTATAATGGCAGGGTTTAGGTTTTGCAGACAGGAGGTGGTGGTTTAAATGAAACGTTCAATAAACCTGGGCAAAGCCCATTTTGCTTCTCAGGAGAAGCTTCCCATTTGGTCCCTTGTAGCTGCGGGCACTGCCTTGTGATCTCTCAGCTGGAGTAATGGTGGGGGTGTTTGAGCTAAACGGACTGATCCCCATTGCCTAATATGTCCAAATATTCTTCCTGGTCTGCATCCATCTGCTGCTTCATGTCATTATGGCATGTCGACATGAAAAGTGAAGGTGTGAATGGAAAGCTACTTCTGCTGGCTTTAACTTACGACAGTTCAGATATGGGCACAATGCTTCCCTGGGAGTGTGAAGCTTAATGTGTGTGGTGGCAGTGCTGGACCACATTTCTGAGGCTGAGGATTCCAGAGGGCCTCCACTGGCATCCCTTCTATCTCGAGTTTCTCTGCAGCACAGGCATACCCATCATGAGGGTGGGGATGAGAGTATTTTCTCTACTTCATGACTATCCAGTTATTTCATACAATAGTCCAGGTCCGTAAGCAGAGCTCCTCAGCACAGCATGAACCCCGGTAGAGAACGTGTATAGGAATAGAAATGTCTCTCGTAAGCCTTACTAGGTTGGCCCCCATCATGTCCATTGTGCAAACTCACTGACAGGTGAGATGCCTGGGCTTAATTTCACCAATAATGGCACTGATCCATATATAAAATAATCAAACCACTCATGGCTTTGGTTTGTGCATTATGTGAACATCTAAAGGCTTTAAAAAGGGTACCACATAGATCTTGTACTCACCTGTAATTTCTGTCTTCTCTCAGATGCAGCTTTCATTGGAGTAGTGCAAGATACAAAATATGTCAGCCTTCCCTTATAGCTTTTCTAGAACTGAAATTCAACTGATTCAATCTCAGATCAGCAGTGGTGGCCCTTGTTCTCACTCAGCACTGTGGGCTATCAGCTCTTGGGCTGATTCCTGAAGCAGTTCACTGCGATAAGAAGTTCTTTAAGAATCAGTGGTGAATATTGGACTAAATTCAGCCACCCTTCACTTTGGCTGCAGATTCCCCTAGCACAGATGCTGGAGTTTATAATCCACATGTAATTTCCTCCTCTTCCATTTCTCCCTAGGAACAGAAGGGGAAACCAAACCAGGAAAGGACAGAAAGGACGGAGGAGACCTGCTTGTGCCCAGTACACTGACTGGCACTCTGACTCCTTCTCCAAGCCCTTCCTTCAGACTGCTGCCTGTCCTCAGGTAATTTGCATCACTTCCCCATCACTCAAATACAGTTAATCACAGCACTCATTCTGTAGCATTTACAAACCAATGGGTCAAAAATGGTACCTTGGAGCTAGGCACTTGAAATATTGCTTTTTAAGGCATATAATCCCAAATCCATGGCATGGGAAAACCAAGAGTTTCACAACAAAGCATGGAAAACCCTAACAACTATTAGCTCAAACCCTCCCTTTCAGGCCGCACCCAAAACCCAAGTGAGAGGCTAATGGACAAATCCTCCTCTGGCAGGGGGCCGATCAGCCAGAGCACCATTCACCCAGTCCCAACCTATTTCACACCAGGCAAAATCCCTGTGGGAACAGACAATTCATGGCACTGTACCTTTACTCATGACAGTACCAGCAGACAATTGCTAGCGTCTCGGTGTCTGGCCAAAGCGGATGGCAGACGGCTGTCTGAAGCTGGGACCTGGGAAAGTGGGGATAACATCAGGAAAAAACAAAAACATCTTACATACCTGCTACTCCCATCTCATCCCACTCTGGGGAGATGCCTGGTTGCTGTGGACTGAGTCAGTGCCTGCTCTTGTGGTCCTTCAGCACCCTGTGGAGCTACCGCGTGCTTGCAGACTTGGGGTTGTTGCCACGTCCTGTCCTATCTGCTGTTTGCGAGGACTTCACAGCCAACACTGAGTACCAGTGGCTTGGCTATTTCCACCTTGTTTTGGCTGTTTTAGCCTACCTATGTGAACGAACATGCAGCCTTCTCAGCGGGTCAGCAGGTCAGAATGGAGCAACAGCACCTACTTGGGAAGATTTGCTGGGTCCTTTGAAAAATATCCCCGGATTTTTATTGGATCTTAGGTTATCTGCCTGGATCTGGGCTTTGATTCTCCGCTCTATAGCTTTATCCCAGGCTGGCAAGGGTAGTGCCTTTCCCTCAGAGACCACAACTGACAGCTCTCAGGGAGAGGGAGGAATGGGGCAGTGGTTGCCTTGTGAGGGTGGGGAGAGGGAAAGGCTGTCTGAGGCCACTGTCTGCATGGGGGAGCTGCAGGGCTGGTGAGGATGATCAGCAAGCATCTTATTTCTCCTTCCCTGGGTTGCTTAACTCCAGCTGGAGGACCACCACTCCTTGCTCTTCCATTGCACCCTCCCTAGGTCCCAAATTCCTGGCTTTTTCCACCCAGCTATGCCACACCGACTCTACCCCAACCTCCCCACTGCTCCCCAGGCAAGTCCTGTCCCTTCAGCTGCAGCATGACATTTGCCTACGTGGCTTATAAATGTTGGCTCTTCATAAAAATACCAGCCTGCCCGCAGGGAATGAGGTGGAAGGTAGACCATGCTGAGGCCTTTTATTTCCTGCAAAGGTGTGTTTGCAAGATACTGGTGGAGAGCACTATGCAGATGCACAGAGACAGTATGCAGATGAGCGACACTGTGAAAGGCAGGGCCAGCTCCCCAGCTGGGGGAAAATGGGTTAGATCAAACACTCATGCAGATTTCCATCAGCTGTGGTGACAGTTAGGTAGGCTGGCCATTTTGCATGGATGGCTCACCTCTTTGCCAGCTGTAATAAACATGGGTGCCTGATGCCAACAGAGCTGGGCTGAGCTTCACCAATAGATGCATCTTCTTCCCCACCTGCTTCACTGGTGCAAGTGGCCTCATCTCTGCCAAGTAAATACATGAAGAGAAGCTAAGTGGGAATCTGGGTTGTACTCATGCTGAGAGCTGGCCAAAGAAGGGGAAAACATCAGTCTCAAAAGGGTTTTCAAGATTTGGACATCTGGCTTCATCTTTGACTATGCACAAACAGGATCTGCCAACTTGAATCAAGAAAATCAAGAGGAAGAAGAGCCTAGCCTTTAAAAGTCAGTGCTGCCATAGAATCGTACCATCAACTAGGTTGGAAAAGATCTCATGGCTAGAAAGTTCACGAAGCACATGGGAGAAAAAAGCTTAGTCTGAATCCATGACTTGAACACAAACCTACACCCCATAACCAAATATTGTGGGGTTCCTTTCTCGCTTGTTGTGCTAAAAAATTCTGGCTAGAATAGAAGAAAGTGAAATGCAAAACAAAGCTCTTAAAATAAATAAAATAATAACCTGCCAAAATTAAAGCTAAATTATGGAACTTCCACGTTCCTCCGCTGTGTGTGTTTTGTGTTTGAGAAAATTCATGTGAAGATTTCACCTATCTAGCTTTGGATGGTTTCATTATTAGCAGGCCACAAATGAATTAGGTGGATGATGCAAAAGTGACTGCCAATAAAATATTTACACCGTTTCTTCCTTCTGTGTGAAACATCTTTTATATCTATGCATAGACGTATATACTATAAATAATAGAAATGATGCTCATATTTTATAGTAGGGATGTAAACACTGGTCCCAACAGCAGTGGCAAATGAACCACTCACATTTTCTGATTGCATAATTTGCCTAGAGGATGGATACATAATTACACTATAATTAAGTATAATAAACAGAGAAAATGATTTGAGAAGGAAAAATTATCACAGCCTCAACCACATCATCCAGAAGCTCTCTTCTAATTAAGTTATTTTATTAAACAAAATGTTTTTAAGGTGGGTCCCCTTTGAAAATGTACATTATAGCCCATGTAATGCAATTTACTTTATAAGTAAAACATGGCTTGTGTATGGACAGATCATATCTGACAGGACTCATGAAATACGCAGCCACTGGGTCCAGTCCAGCCAGGTGCCGAGTCCCTCACGCCCCTGGTCCAAGGAGCAGACACTGCAGCAGCACATAAAGCAGCCTTTTATTTGTGCTCACTGATGGGCTCTTTTTATGTTGCTTGGGTTTGTTTTCTGATTTAAAGGGAGAAACGCAAGCAGGTAATTCTGGTGTTGTCATCCTGTAATGGTACAGTAGAGGCAAAGGCCAAGAAAAGAGGTAGCTCAAGCTAGCCCAAATACCTCATGCTATTTGGAGTTGAGTCTTAAAACACTATTCCCTTTCAAATGCTTTTACCCTCACTAATTCTGCTCAGTGCTTGGCAAGATGTGCAGGTGGAGCTGACTTTTATGTTACTGTCACTGAAGAAACCCACTGGTTTACAGGCTCAGGAAGACCACATAATCTGCTACCTCATGTGGCAAAGGCCATTGGACACCCTCCAGTTCATTGCTCTTAAGACTACAGCTCCCCCAGCCACTCAGGGACCACAGAAGCTATTACAGAAGCCTTGGAGCATTATTCTGAAGGAGCCTAGTGCTCATCATGTTCCCCCTCCCCACAAAAAGTCCAGCTTTAAGTTATAGCCATAAGATTTCTGTAGACATCTGCCTCATTTCCACATTTCTCTTCCTCTTGCTTGTGAGTACTTAGAGATTGTGATCAAGCCATCCCGTAGCCTCTCTTCTGTAAGCTCATTAAATCATGCTGCCCGATACAAATCTCTGCTGGTTTCCTGGCTCTTCAATGTTCTTTGGGAAGATTCCTGTGTATCAGTGACCTGTTTTCTTAGCTACTTACTCTCCTCTTCAGTTCCCAAGTCACTTGTAAAGTTTACTTGTAATGATTTAGGCTGTCTTTCAAGTCGCTGTGAAACCCAGCATATCCTTTGTAACACATCCCTTTGGAACCTGCTAGGGATGAGATCCAAGAATGGACTTACGTTCAGTGTAGGAGAAAGCATCCAAGTCCAAGGAAAAACTAGGGAAAGAAGAACTTGTGTCCTAAAATACCTGTTGTCCATAGCAGCACAAGGTTCAAAATGTTGAACATTATGTCATGAGAACACCTCCGAATGCTCCATGGAGATGCATTTCTCTAGCTCTCTCTACTGTATGCACAGTGTAGTGGGTAATGGAGAGAGCAGCCTGGTGATCGAGATGAATCCTCTTTGTTTAGAGCTTTCCACTCTTAAATGTTTGCAGACCTTTGAACCACAAAATGTTGTCAGTTATTGACGAGATGATTGATGTGTGTGGTTAATGCTTGCAGGGCGCCCCAGGCACAGCACATCACCATGGGTCTATATACTCCTGATGACTACTTCAGTTTCTCTCCTAATCTCATGTGTTTTCAGCTGTATAGTGACCTGATTTCAACTAGGAGCTTCCATGAACAATCACGTGGCAATCACAGACATTGTAAACTCAAGCCAAAGAGTCATTTTCAAATGCTTGGCAAACGCCAGACCACAGAAACTCAATGTGTCGTAAGATTCCACTTGGTCCCATAATCATGGGTGGGAAAAAAGAGGAGGATTATCCTTAGACCTCAAAGTGTTTTACAAAGGGAGACAAATGCTGCTATTCCCATTTATTGGATAGGGCAACGGCAAGTAGAGACTTGCACAAAGTCACCCAATTAATCAGCCAGAAAACTGCCACTGAAACCCATATTCTGGTCTAAACAGGTTCCCAGACTGCCCTCATCACTGCAATATCCGAGTACCCTCCAGTAGTATATTAAGAGTATTTGGGCATGTCTACACTGGCCGATGCAAACAGCTGCCTGCCAATCCAGCCCCCTTCTCAGCCAACTGGACAAAAGCCATCTCCAGACTGAAGCTGTGTAGCCACGTTAACACCATTCTGAGCCCAGATGTATGAACTCCACTGCCACAAGGGGTGAAAGCTCAACCCAGCACCACCACTCTAATTCAGCTGTTAGGCTGTCTCTGAATTAGATATACCTTTCTTTATTTTAAACCCCATTTCATCATCTATAGTTCCTCTCAGAGTATTTCCTCGTGTTTCAGTTCTTGCTAAGCCATGGAGACAGGGCACAAACATGCTGGTTATCTGGTTACAGCCCCATGGCAGCTTTGAAGAATGATCTGGAAGGTGACAATTTGAACAGGAATATTTGGATACACTGCATAAGGAAGAAAAATCTCCAAAATATATTAAGTCAGGAAAAGAGGAAAGAGAAGGAAAGCATCTCTTTAAACTCAAGATCTACTTGTCATGAGCAAGAGTACTAAAAAATCGGTAACTTAATAACCTGAAGGAAGAGTAGCTGTTATTACAGGGCATTGTACTGGCAAAGCTCCTATACATCACAACAATAATTCTCTCCAGACTTCTCTTCCCTCCCAAGGCATGAGGAAACACCAGTGCATTTAGCCTCAACCGCCTGGCAGGCAGCATCACTTCCTCGTGAGAGGCAGGGAGCTGACACAGCGAGGGGAAGGCTGTCCTTTGTGAGAGCTACAAAAGCCCCGTGTGACCCAGTAAGTCTGACATAGAGCTGAAGCAATGAGTCCTGCTCCAAGGAAGCTAAAAATTCCAAGGTGCTTTAAGAGCTCAGGACTACTCGTGCTCCTGAGGTTTAGAAATCCTTTGAGGGTTGCTATGTTCATGCCAACCACTCCTAGCTCTGGAAGTCCAGCTCTGCTCACCTTGATTTCACTTTCCTCCCATCAGCGTCTACTTCCACTGTCTTCTGGCCATGGGGCAAGGTGGGCTTTGATCTGGAGCTGCTCTCGCCTGGGTCTTGTGCTTCTGGATCCAAATCCCTGCTGGCAGGGATCTGGCTTCACCAGATCATCACCCTCTGCCTGGGGAAAACAAGGCAGCACGTAGGCAGCAGCGTTTCTTTGCTTCTTTGCACTTCTTGGACTTCTGTGCAAAGCCCCAGTGGGTGAACGTGTGCTTCATGCACATGCAGAAAGGGCACAGACACTGCTTGAAAAAGAACGGACCTGGTTAACTTGGCTACGATCATCCAGGAAGTTTGTGGCAGAGCTGCAAATAAAATCCAGACATTTTGCCTTTTGGGCCTGCGTCTTCACAACAACACTGTTCTTCCTCTGGGCATCTGGGCTTGTTGTCTTATCGGGATGCGCTGCTCAGCGTGGCTCCTTAAAGGGAAAGAGTGCTGGGAAAGCCACGCTTTAATCCAGCAGAGAAAATGACACCACCTACAGAGGAAAACCCTGTAGCTTTTTGCAATTATTGCCATGCATGTATATCTTTCCCTCCCTTTGTGATCTTTACCACTTCCTTACCATATGTAAAAGGCCTGATCCTGATGAAAATAGTCTTGGTTCCAGAAATGCCACTCAGACGATGTTGATTTACCTCCACAGAGGATGTGGGCCCAATGCTTTTGGCCAGATTTTTCTGCAAGCAGCCAGTCACATTTCTCTCTCCTCCACCCAGAAAGCTGGGGGAAGTCGTGCAGCAAGAACCTTGCTCTACTTCACCTGGCCCACCCAGGGAAGAGCTATTTCTGAATGGGCACGGAAACCCCAAGCTTTGTCCCTTTAATCTGACATCTCATGCGAGTTGCTAAGCCTAATGTTTAAATTGAAAAACACCAACCTGAAAATAGCACTAAAGGAAGCAGAGGATTTGAACAGCACTATATTTTTAAGATAGTCCTTCTGGAAAACACTGTATTTAAAAGCTGACCCTTTTACCATGAGGTTTCTGGAACTATAGAGCCATCCCAAGATTCCTGTGAGATAAGGCTTATAATTTGGAACTGAGTAATGGCACATAAACACAATTGGCTTTGTATTAAGAAGACATGTGTAATCATCCGGCAGTGTCATATTGCCCCCAGTGCAGAGTGGTTTGGGCCTGTTTGTGTTGGAAATTAAAGGTAAGTGCTACACGATGATGAAGGTGGCTCATCCTCCATACCTGACAGAGGGATGGTGTCTCAGGGTACAGATCTCCCTGGGGCTTTGGAGAAAACCCCCTCCTTTTGAGTATTTATGGTCTGCTGTCTCCCCTGCTTATGATTTAATATCTAAGCCCATAACTCAAAGTGTTTGGAAGGGCAGTTGTTGAGCTGTGATGGGCAGAGGTTGCACATTGCAACCTCCTCTTAACCGAAGTGACACAAACTCAAGATCTTTTTAACTTGAAGATCTCATTCCTTCATATTGATTTGACTTATTTCTACTAAAGGGCAAACCCAGGGAAACACAGGAGTTTCCGTGGTGGTTTTATGCCACGCACAAGTATGTGTAGGAGCCTTTCAGACCTCTTCGCACTCCCAGAGCAAGGACCAGATCTCTGGCTTGAGTCTTTTAATTTTCTTCCACTTTGTTGGCGTGAAGTCTGACAGCCAGGCAGATGTGACTGCCTTGATCTTTGGTGTGGATCTCCTGTTGCACTCTCTGTTTTTCCAAGCCTCAATAGGGGAAAGTGGAATTGCTGTCCAGAAACATTAATCACAGCATCTCAGATCTGTAAATTCTCATGAGTTTTCCCTCCTGGAGCACTGGAAGGCTTTGACCCATTTTCCAAAGTGGGTATAAAGCATATATACATAAGGAAAGCACACATACTTGTAGCATCTGCAAAAACATATGGTAGTTTCACATCCCACTAACCAGTTTCCTGGATTGAATACATATAAGTGCAGGCTTTGTGAGAACTAGCCTGTTATGAATGCTGGGTTTCTGACTCTCATCCCTTAACCGCAGTCCTTCCTTGACTTTGTGAGAGATACCATTTCCCTCTTAATTTGGCAAGTTAATGCACACAGTCCTTCTGGATACTTATTCTTGTGTTGCCCTCTTTTTGCAGGTGAAGCTACTCTATCAGGCTCCATTGACAATCTCTTCTCCCATCTGCCCGTCTTGCCATTGCATACAGAGGGGTTGCGTTATCTCTGCTTAATCCTGAATGGCAAAAAGCAACCATTTCCAGGAGCAGTAATTACACTTCAGATGTCTTGGGATTTTGCTGGGCAGCTAATCTACAGAGCAAATGTTTCCATCTAAATCTTTTGTTTTAATGAAAGACTGTTTTGCCAAAGGACCTGTTTTCCTTAAATAGACTATTTTTGAAGCAGAACATCTAGAACTTTTGGCTGTTGTTTCTGACAAGGATATCATTTTTCCTATCTTATCAACATTTTCTGTGCAAACATACCCACCTATCAGCATGTTTTCCCTTTTAGTAACCAACCTTCAGTCCAACGTGCCTTCTAGCACCAAAGCAATAAACCCTGAAGAATGGATGTAGATACGGAGAGACCCCCCTGCATCCTTCTATGCCTGTACTTGTGCCACTCCTCTTGTACATTAGTTTACACTCTTGGAAACTCCCAGAGAGGGAGACCCCAAAGCCCCTTTCTGCCCCATCAGTCCCGGCATCTCCTTCTCTTTATGGATAGAGCTTTCCTAAATTCTTACCTCCTCTGTTTTGCCCCAGATAAAGCCAACTCAGTCTTGTCTTTCCCCATGCAAACAGACCAGTGATCACTGTACCCTTTTACCACACTCATTTCACCTAGTGTCTTCCCATGTGAAGTCTCTCATAGCTGTCCTCAGTCTTCTCTAGACTAAACAATTCCAATTAAAAAAGAAAGAAAATTCCTTCCAGGTCACGTTTTTTGAAGCCTCTTATCAGTTCTTTTGCTCTCCTCCAGATTTCCTCCCGTGTTTTTACCTTCATATGGAGTATGGAACACAGACCTGTGGTCTGGGCCTCTCCAGCACCAGACTGATCTCCACACAAAAGGTGCTCTTGATACCTCAGCTAAAAACAAGTGTCTTTCTCGCCACAGATCACACGGTAGACTTAGATTTGAGCTTGCCCTCTACCAGCTCCTCCAGCACATTGCCAGTACCATGACCTGGTTCCTTACATGTGTTTTACTTACGCGCTTTCTTTTTCACGTAAGACTATTTCTAAAGTTTATTCAGAACATTTATTCAGAACTATCTGCCTCCCCTCCCAAAGCTGGGGTTTTCCCAACCTATTCTGTTGTTTTAACCTACTGTAAAGAGCCCTGTCTGCTCCACCAACCAAACTGTTAGTAGAGATTTAAATGAACCATGACCAGCACAGACTTCTGTTAATGGTCCTCTCACTTTGACAGTGAATCACGCATGCCTGATCTTCAAGGATATAATTCCAATCAATGGTTGAAAAGCAGCAATTATTTCTGTCAGATAGGCATCATTTCTGATACTAACAGCTGTCCAAGGGAGACCTGAAGCCAAGAGTGATACCAGTGAATAATAGACAAATACCTACTCATCACCTGTACTGGGTTGAGTACAGGCTTGAGTACCAAGCCCTGAAACTACACTCTCTCCTATTTTTTTATGAGAGGACAGCAGCAAAGCTGGATTATTCATAGTTCTGAAAGCAGGATGGGCACACCAGTATGCCCCTAAAGCCAAGATGATGAGCTAATCAACTTCGTATTGTTAGAAGAGTCCCCACCTACGCTTTCACACAAAAGGCTGATTAGCTCACAGGTATGCAAAACTCTGGGAGGATGCCATCTTTCATCGCTACCAGAAGATGTTTAATACATGTTGCCAACACTTAAGTGTTTGTGAGTGTGTATGTGTGTACACACATGCGCAGCCACTTGCTCTGGTCGCAGGAGCTGCTCACTGTGTTGCGCTAATCCGCCGTGCCAGGGCACAGCCCTGTGCTGGGCATAGCTTCACTGCTTTGCGCTCAGCTGCAGCAGACAGGAGCGCAGGGGATACAGCCTTCACAGCCCAAAGGAGCCAGATTTTAACAGGCTTGTCCTGCTTCCAGTGGCAGTGCCTGTGACAGGAACAGTCATAGGACGGGAGAGGGTGTCACCATGGAGAGCAAGGAGGTGATGTTTCACCTTTCTTGTGATGTCCTGGTGAAAGGAAAGCTAAAAGCACTCCACCGTCTAAATCACTGATGGAAACACTGAGTCTGAGTGCACTAAAACATGCTCATCCCACGTACCAGTGTGCTCCATAAAGGAAGGTCAAACACGGAGCAGACTGTAAGGACACATAGCAGCAAAATACTGCTTAGGCTGGTTGGTGTGATTCCCATTACAAACCAGGGGTGATGATGTAAAGTATTAGCTCCACATCATTGTTCAGCCTGGAGAAGAAGTTCTCCGAGGACATGTTATTATAGTCTTCCGATACGTAAAGGGGGCCAACAAGAAATCCAGAGAGGGACTTTTTACAAGGGCATATAGGGACAGGAAAAGGGGGAAGAAACCCTCCCTACTATCAGTAGTCAGTAATATATTTGCTGTCTTCTAATGGTGTACCTTATCTCATGTGTATAGGAAATAACCTCCTCTCACTGTCTTTTTCTGCCCTCTTCTTCCATGCTCCTTGCTGAAGATTTGCAGGACATCAGGAGTTCCCTATGCTCCCCATTAGCTTAACAGTTATCTGGAAAAGAATGTGACAAAAAAAAGGCATGCATTGAAATGTGCTTTGACAAATATATAACAATATATGTTTCCCAAGGTATTTTCAATTTTCTGACTATAGTGTGTGAGCAGGAGAAGGCGTAGGAATGCATCACAAAAATGTCTGTTTGCAAATAGAAAAGCTTTCTTTAATCTTGCTTATACAGGGGGATATACTGCTCTTTTAGTATAGAGGATTTTTCCATCTGGGCTACCTGCATTCTAAGGACTGAAGATGCTGAGGGTGTCCCATCTGCATAACCTCTTCCCTGGGATGCAAGCAATGAGGGTTGGTTCATGGTGAGCAAATGAAGCCCTTAAGGAACTGAGTATGAATTCATGCCCTGCAGCTTGTGGGGAGAAATTATCCTGGGATAACTTTGGTCTATTGCTGACAAAAAATAACTGGCTAAATCCCAAATGATTCTACCCCTGTTACAGTTATACCAGTTGGACTCCAGCACAGCCCCTTCACCCAGTGGGAGCTTCCAGCCCAGCTATGACCTCTCCATTGCTGGCTGCTGTTTGCAGCACCCCACATCAAGAGAGGCAAAGAAGGAGTTTGTGGAGGCAGGCAGCTCCCATCACTTCCTCTGGCAAGTGCCTGTACTTAATGCAGAGGGGTTTTACTTCATGGAAGTCTTTGCACCAAGTGACTTTGTCCTAAGCACTGCACTGCCTCGGTTATCGCCCGCGCAAACATTCCCTTCAGATCAACATACCGGCTGGGCCAGAAATCACACAATTGATGTTTTGGTTTCCACTGCCTTATCTAAATCCAGTTACTGCTCAAAATGAGACTAAGTCAACAGACTTAATTGAATGAAAAGGCTGTGAGACAACCTAGAGATTTGTGGCTGTGTATGTCCGTGCAGGAGTTAATCACTAAGCAAACACTGCGCAACAAACAGAGCTGGGCTGAGCAGGATCGGTTTTAATGTGGCCTGGAAGCTCCCAACACGCTGGGGTTGCACGAGGCATTGTTGGGGGATTTAACAGCATCGCAAACAAGGTCCTGCCATGGAGAAAAGCTGGGGATGGACAATGGAGCAAGCCGTGAACAAACACTTCTGCTTGCTGCCTAGATTAGGAGATAGCAGAGAGCCTGTAGGAATGGCCAAAAATAACTGCTCCCCTGTAATTGCTGCTGCCCGGATATGTGAAATAGCCCTGCTGGCACCCAGCAGAGAGGTGCTTGATGGCCTTAGCTTACCTGTGGGGCGGCAGCTGCCAAACTCTGGATGTGCCCAGTTCCCAGCTGTTGCAGACATCACAGGTCTTTCCCAGCTGTGCAGCTATTCCTGGCTCTGCAGCTCCAGAGAGAAAGGTATGACTGAAATATGTGGGAATGGCCACACTGGGTCACACCACTGCTTCACCTCACCTCTCTCCCTGTCTCCAGCGCAGGCCATGAGCAGACTGTTAGGAAAGATCATTGAAACCTGTGTAAGATCATAACTAGGACCTAGTTCCCGCTGTGACAGTGCTGCACAAAGCTTCTCCAGAGCTGCAGGACTAAAAAGTCAAAGACTTACTGTGCAGTTGCAATTTGCCCTGGCAAAATCTGTGCCTCTCCTTTCTACCGTCTGCTCACTTCAGAGGCCCTGTGTGGGTACATGGGGCAGCTGCTCTATAGGAAGGCTGCAGAGGGAACGCTCAGGTTCATGCCAATGGTTCATCTTAGCCATTGCAAGAAAGGAGGCTGAGGCTGCAAACCTAAGATAGTCATTAAATATCTTCTAATACGAGATGACTCACATACTTTCCTGGCTGGTAGGACTCCATCAGGTGATGGAGAACCTGAATCAGGTTCTTCTGTAGGCAGCAAAAGCCTTTCAAACATCTAAAGGTGCCTTTGCCGTGAGCGGTATAAAGACAGACCCTTGCCGTTTCAGCTGGGGTTTGAACATGATTTTGGCTGGGAAAACTCACCCCATGCCACAGAGGGACACCACGCCTTGCACAGGCCACCCACTTGCACACTAGCCTGGGGCCAGGACATCTGGCTGTAAAAATGCAATTGTGGTGGTGTCCCCTAAAGAAAGGAGGGCACTGAACTTGGGTACATCCTTCCTCCTTAGGGGAGGACGCAGACACCACTGGTACATTTGCAACCCATTTGACAGCTCTTGCCCTTTGTACAAGCAGACAGGACAACTCCTGTAGCAAAGCCAGGAAAGATGATGAGCTTTGTGATCAGGTGCTGCATGGCCAGAGCCCTACGCAACGTCAAAAGGAACTGCTGTTGAATGCCCAGGTTTCAGGATACAACAATAACACATAACCCTATATTTCATTCCTTTAACAAAGTGCTGAATACGCAAAGGCTCTTTTCCCAGCTTCTGTCTCCGTCTTGGAAGCTGGGGAACAGCCGAGTGTGTAATTATTTTCAGATGCCATCCACTTTATTGATTATCTGAGTGGGATGCGCAAGTAAGGGCAGCTAATGCCAGGAGCAGAGCTCGAAGGAAGCTCGCTCCCTTTTGGGAAAAGCTGAAATCAAACCACCAGATGAATGGGTCGTTGAAAACAGGCTGGAATATATTCCCTGTAGTCATTCCGAAAGTTCAAGGGCAGGGGAAAAGAGAGAAGACAAAAAGAAAGCAGCCGTGTCTGTGTTCACGAAACTTCTAATATCTGAAAGTGCTTAAAAAAAACCAGACAAGTGCTTTTCTTTTCATACAATCATGGAAAAACACACTAAGCTTTTGACTCAATGGTTTTGTTTTTCCAGCAAGTCCCTTCCAGGTTCCACGCGCCATCTCCGAGTCACGTCTGCTGGGTGAGCTTCGAGCTAACAGAGGCTTTAGGAGAGCTCGCTGTGATTTTGCCACACAAAGTTTCAAGTATCGGCTTGCTGGAAGTGCAGCCGAGAGGGAGGAGGGAAGGGAAGTGGCGTGAGCTTTGCCAACACACCTGCACAAGCTTTGGGCTCTCCTGGACAATCTGTGTGCTAATGATGTATAACCTGCAGAGCCTGGCAAGGCGCTCGCTGAAGACTATAACAGACAGGCTGTGCATGCCTCTGATTTCTAATTGCTTAAAACAAGTAATAACACCCCCCATCACCCCCCCAACCCTGTGTTGTAGGTAAATGCTTAGGATAGAAACTGAGATGCGTTCGGCTGGGAAGAGCTTCTACCAAGGTAAGGAACAAATGACAGTTTAATTACGGTATTTTACGTCTATGTAATTCCTCCTCTAAAGCAAAAGGGAGGAAAAAGCTGAACGTCATTTCAGCTCCCATGTTCTGCTAATTTTGCTTTTGACTATTAGAGATGCAGCTGGATCCTATTTCTAATCCACTTTCAAATTTGCTTGAATTCAAATCCCAGATCACTGCTGTGTTTTCAAGTTGAAGTGTGCGTAGTAGCCAAGGTTTATATGGCAATTTCTGGAGTTATGGAATGATGAGCTCCAACAGAGGAAAGTGTGTTGTATGCCTGAGTCCTGGGGAAAAGAAAAAAGGTTGGCATCAGTATTATTTGGAATTAGAGCTCACTTGTAGAATAAATAGCCTTGAAGTTAATACAGGGCTACATTTGGTTCCACCCACTGGAACTGGTCGGTATGGAAGAGCAAAGGCTGCCATGGTGGAGAGGTAGGAATGGAAGTGCTATTTAGTTAGAAAACCTGATTATTTCTGAACTCTCACCTGAAATTTAAAAGTTCCCCTGTTAGTTTGAGGCTTATTTTAATAACAAATTCCCTTCCTGACTAAAATAGCACGGTAAGACTGCCCTTGCTTTGAAATACCTGTGCTTTCTCCATTGCTACCTGAATGCGTCTAAAAGCTGGCATTTCTGTTTATGTCTAAATCCAACAGCATGGGCTTGCTCGACTTTGCACCTGGAAAACACCATAACTCACACGGAGTTATGAATCCTTATATTCCCTGGGCTTTCCTATCTGCCATGACAATTCCCAGCCACTGCCAGGTGAAGCCAGCCAGCCAGTATTTATGGAAAATGAACAGACTAATCATTTCCAATAGCGGGACACGATGATGATATAATTGCAACAGTTTTCGTTGACATCCAAGCGGACGGATCCGAGCCAGAAATGGGAATATGGGCTCCACCCATCTACCACCCAAATGTAAACAAGCCAGCATGGTTAAAAAGAGGACTAGAAGACAGGGCTCAGGCGTTCTCCTTCAGCTGTGTTATGCTATGATTGCCAAGTTGCCACACAACCTTCCTGCCAGGCCATTTATCCAGCCATAAACTGACCCTTACCTCACACCAAAAAGTTGAGCTGCTTCTTTCAGTATCAGCTTCTTTTTAAACGGGGCTAAAAGCACTTTATTGAGAGATTATGTTTTGAAGATTGGGTGTTGTAGGGTCACAAATTAAACCTGTTAAGTACCTAAAATCCAGCTCAGCCTTAGCCATGACTGGCACTGTTGTAGCATGCACATGTTACTACCAGCATGGATAAGGGAACACCTGCAAAAGGGAGGGAAGTGGGTATGAATACAGCTGGAGATGAGGTGAATAAGACTGATAGCTTCTTACAAAAGACTGGGAGCGGTTCTTTGGCTGATGGATGATTGAAAATCCAGAGGTGGATTGTGAGGAGCTTGATGTGATGTCACAGGAAACCAGGGTAAGTCTTTGGTTGAAATAACTGGCAAAATAGTCCTGGATGCTGAGCAAAAGTTTACAGTAGCTTTGTGAACTATTAGCCCCTTTCAGAGCAGAGTTTCTCACAGGAGATTGACAGAGTGTTTTCTTTCAGCAATAATAGAGTCACTCCCATTCCAATGTGAGGATTTCTCTCATTAACAGAGAGAACAAAGCTATTCATGTTTGGGGAAGCGTGGTCCTGAGAAGAGCCTTGAACTTACCCTTATAACTCACTTCCTTGCCTCTCCCCAAGTTGGCCTAAATTCAACTAAATTAAACTATTCCCCAAATTACATTTCCAATAAATTCACAACCCTGAATGAAAACAGCATCTGCTGTTTGTTGATGCATCTTCGCATGCAGTGGTCAATCCATTCCTCCTGACTCCATCGCCAAGAACAAACGGTGCTGTTCACCTTCAAGTCCTAATTCCTAAACAGGAGGCCAGCCTGAGTATAGCTTGGGTCTGCATCTCTGGATATAACAAACCTCCTCGAACAGGCTGGTTAAAAGGAGGAAGCTCTTGTGGAGGTTGGAGCAGTTTATACTAGTGAGGGTCTGGCCTGTAAGGACTTGCACCTGCGGTATAAGGACAAAAAAAAGCCCGTGTTCCAAAGCATGGTGACCTCCCAGTCTCCTAAGCTGTATGAAATCCCATTTCCTTTCTACTTGTGCTAAATGTAAAAACAGAAACAAAGGCACACACCTAAATAAACAGAAAAGCACAGACAGAGAAGGGGAGAGAGGCCCTAGCGCAGGTCCTACGCCAACTAGTACAGAGAGATGTTTCCTATTTGCGGTCTTTCGTGTTAGACCTTGCCATATCATGTGAATGAGAATGTGAGTGGGAGACTCGTTGGACAACGTTGGTTTTACAAATGTCTCACGATTGCAGAAACACCTGCTTTATATTATATTTCTTGCTGGTCCACAACAAAATTCCTCGCTGGTCAACAGTTCTCAGCAGGCTTCATTTCTTCCTTCTCTGTGGATGGCTCAAATCACTGGTTTCTAAATCCTGGGCCACCACGAACCTGAACCTCCTTGAGTAGGAGGGGGAATACGGAAGGCAGAAGGGCACTTCTGCACAGAATCGTGACAAAATGGTGGCTAGAGAACCTAAACCTCATGAGACTGCTCACCATCAGGTGGGGGTAGCGGGGCAGGAGGGTTACCCAGGCCAAATGGACGGATCTGTAAGACCCATCTGTTTTCACCATGAAAACCTCACAGCCCACACCTATGCAACACACACCACTCCAGTCACCACAAGTTATTACTCTTGGTCTCCACCGCTTCCTGTGAAGCTGTAATGGGTCTGAGAGAGCGTCCAATGAAACCAAAGGGATCCTTTCCATTAACTCAATGGGCTCTGGATCAGGCCCAACATCTGTTTGGCCTTCTCTGTACACAGTGCAGCCAATTTATTCTTTATCCGTTCCTGGGCCTCTCTCTCCAATAGCATCCATATTTTCCTACTTATGGTTGTCATTAGCCACACCAAGCACCAACGCCAGTAAGAGACCATCCTTCCCCTCTTCGGCAGCCAGTCCCCTGCCGTGGCATAGCCACGACTGCTGCCCCAACCCCATATCATTTTGGCCAGGTAACAGTCTCTCCTTTCTCCTTGTTCAGGTTTCCAGGCTATCCCTTCAAGCTGCCAAGCTCTTCCTACTCTTCCCACCAAGGATAGGGCTGGTTTTTGTTTTCTGTTTTATTGTAAATCTGGCCAAGAATCAATACAAACACCAAACAGAAAGGTCCAAGAGCCCGTAAGACACCTGAAGAGCATTGCAGAGAAGGGACATGTTCTCCGAACAGACATTTCCCACCCTGGCTGATGACAACACAGGCAATGAATTCTCTAGCAATCCAGAGTACAAAGGGTAACAGCCAACAGGCAGCTCCATAGTCTTATATTGGGATCCAGAGCTAGAATAAGAGACCTAGCAACAAATCTCCAAGCTGTCTGTATAAAACCAAGTGTGTGGTGTATATATATATATATGTGTGTGTGTGTGTGTATATATACACATACACATATATATATTGTATATGTGCATAATGCCAGTTAACAACCGCTCTACAAACATAATCTAATTCGTGATTCAGGTTGGAGAGACTATGTTGGGACTAAGCACAGGTCTTCTCCAGGTCCCACAGTGACAGTAACAGCAATGGTCCATGAGACACCATCCATTCACTGAGCAATACACAATATTCATTTCTTTATGACTTTGCTGAGCCCTTAGATTCCAGGGTCTTTTTTCATCCCATCACACACAGATTTCCGTGCTGCGAAATGCATGCTACTGCTAAGCAGAGCAATAGTCTTCATTTACAAACCAAACAGCTTCTTCCAGCAGAAAAACAACTCTCCAGCGTTAAATCTATAGATCCTTCCAGACACAGAGTTACAGATTTATTTAGGCACTGACACTCTGTGAGAATCCCATGCAAAAATACCCCCTCACCATATCCCAAACTCACATGATTTTGAAAACGCAAGCGTGGTGCCTGAGGCCAGATGAGCGGACTGGCAGGCTGCTGGCACTGTGCATAGGCACATACATCTGCATGTCAGGTAGTTACTCATTCCTGCATACTTCCCTGATAAAATCTGGATTGCCTAAAGCTGGTATTTTCACTCCAGTTTCCTTATCAAGGTATTTACCACCTCCTGTCTGTGCCTTGCAGACCGAGGGTGTTAAATGCTCCCTTACTCTTTCTTTGTGGTACAGTGAGCTCAAGCATATAGGAGCTGCCGTACAGGATGGGATTTCTAAACCCACTGGAGCATGCAGTGGGTGGCTGCTGGCCTGGGCTTGATGGGATCTCACCCTGTTTGTACCTGGGACGTTGTGCTTTTGATCCTCAGGCTGGCTTTCTGCAGCTGGCGGGCTCCTTCCTGTGTTTTGGGTGTTTGTTGTGGTGTGTCCTGGTAGTCCCTGATTGCGTTTGAAAAGCTGTTCTCTCCTGTGAAAGGTTCTATCCTGGTGTACAGCTGCATGAAGAGAAGGATAGCTTGGGATGAAGTCTCAGGAATAGCAGAAGTGTAAATGGCACCTCAATATAGACACAGAACATCTTTTTCTCTCTAAAAGTAAAAGCATCTCTCTCTGTAAATAACAATATTGAGATAGGCCACGGACCGCAAAGGCAAGGTGCTCTTGGAAACTTTGTGCAGTCCCTTTCCAAGAGCACCCCACACCTCTTTCCCACAGACTGCTGATACAAATCATCTGGTTTAGCCAATGGCTCTCACACCCTCTTCTTCGCATGAGAGCAAACATCACTCCCAACATAAGGGTGCTTGATGGCTCTGTTGTTCCCTCCCAAGCCTGATAAAAGGAAAAAGAGATACAGATCCTGAAACAGTATCTAAAAGATTATTAATATCCTTGAAGAAAAATATTAGATTACCCATTGTAAGAAAGAGTTGAATTTCACAAACACTGTATGTATTTCATCAGTTTAAAAGTAGTATTTATGGAGACTGACTTTGTCCACTGTGCACTGGGGGAGAAAACAGTTCATTTTGGGGTGCTGATTCTACCAACAATGCTACTCTCAACCATTCCCATGAGCATTACACTATAGGAATATAGCTTTGTGTCTGAAAAAAAAGGGGTTTTGGCTAAATTCAAACAGAATGAAATGCAATTTGACTTCAGAAATATCAAGTTCTTTTACTTAAAAAAAAATAACAATATAGAGTTTTTCAGGCTTCATATAAAAATATTTTCTTCTGATATTTCTGCTGTACAACACTTACTGGGACCCAGGAAAATTCCTCTATTTTAGTGCTGAACCCTTCTGTGGTTCTTCTGCTGAAAGACGTTAGACTTGGATCCAAGGTGGCTGTCGTACATGACAGTGTCCAGCCTGTGAGAGCACTCTGAACCCCACCATCTGGGCAGAACAAGCCCTGTCCACTGACAGTGGTGAAGGAAAACCAAACAGGGTTCCTGGGGCTGGTTTTCCCCATCACTTTGGCTTTTGGATGAGCCAGCTCTGAAATCAGAGAGATGACTCTATATCTGAAGTGGCATTAATTAGGTGCCAATTGCAACGAAGGCATGATGACGTGGGCTTCAACGGAGCTGCCTGCCTGGGATCATGTCCTGCATCCAAGCTATAACTTGCTTTGCATCCTCCTTCCTTCTGGGATTAAGAGTAGCTAGGCTAAAACCAGCTTGAGACATGCCTGCTCTTGCGGTGATTTCTCCTGGGCCTCTCTTAGGAGCTGTGATTTTTTGGAGGTCCTGTGCACCTGCCACAACCCCTCTGTGCCAGGGTGCTGAGTGCCCAGCGCATGGGCGGGAGCAGTCCTGAGATGCCTGGAGGAAGAAGCACAGGAAAGCAGATGCTTTAGAAAGTGCTGACCTGTTTTGTCCTGTCCTGCAACCTCCGAAGACAGTGCTCAGGAATAAAACGTAGGGAACCGTGTAGTGTGAGAGAGCAACTCAAAAATTACTCCTGTAGTGAAGAAACCACATAATATATTCAAGATGTCAGAGGTCAGCTGTGGTGTATGTGAATCATGCTGCAAATACCTCACCTTTAACTTTACCGTCGTAATTAGATTACAAAGTTTTTATTACAGTTTTAAATCCTGCCTTTATAGGTTGCTGCCCAGCTGTGCACTTAAATCTGGTTTTATCACACTTTCTGAGCTCATCACATTTAATTCTGCCCCTACAATGCTGGATTAACTTTAAGGGTCGCTGAAGTCAAGAAGTCACTCACCCTTGCCCTACTAATGGATTCACACCATCCCTGCATGGCCCCTAAGAGTGATGTGTACAGTAAACTGCATTTATTGGCACGGTGGAGGGGAAGGGGCATTGGGGTTGTTTATTTACTCCACTGCTGTGCTTACCTATCAGGATATTTGCACAGATTACTGCAGTCATGAGATGTTGTTTACCTCCAAAAGCCTGTTGCAGTGAAATTGCAGCAGCACTGCTCTGAGAGCTCAAAAAGAGAGTATCTAGGTCTGCCTGTGAGAAGTGGATGGCTGAGGCTGATTATTGAGGTTTATAGACCTGTATCATCTGAGGAGCTGATCAATTGTTTCCATTCAGAAATGCAGAGATCACACCCTGCCATCACAATCCTCCTGCCAGAAAGCCCAGATCTGGTACTTTATGGGGCCCATCTCTGATATTTGAGGCAGTCCCCGCAGAATGAAAAAACATTATATTTTTCTACAGGTGTCTTCTTCAATGTTTCTTATCATCAAGAAATCAAGGCAAGGCACAAAGGAAACTCTTCATCTAAGCAACATTCACGCCCCAGGTTTTACCTCAGTCTGTTCTTCTTTGACCAGCAAACATCAGATGGGCTGGTGTCAGATACCACCTGAAAAAGATGACCCATTGTCCTGAAAAAATCATCATGTAAATGGGCAAATAAAGGGCAAACAACATTATTTCTTTTTAAAAAATGTAGAAATGAGGTACTGAGTGTCCATCCAAGTGATTTACATGAAGTCACAGGGGGAATCTGAAAGGGATCTGGGAAATAAAACTAGCTCCAGCAGAAAGGTCATTTCGTTCTTGCTGAGGGATGCTTTGAACAGAATTAGAACAGACCTGAGCCAGAGATGGACATCAGGGACTTTAATGAGAAACGGGGGGCAAAAAACATCACTGAGTAATGCCATGACAATTTCTGACCTTTGTTATTCAATGACTAGACACAACATTTTTGGACCTGAGGTTAATAATCTTCAGCAATATACAACCTTCTCCCAAGGAATGTGTGGTGATTAGGGCAAAGAATTTCACATGGTCACAAAATATCTATCTCAGAGTCCTGGGCTTATAAAATACTCTATTTCCTCCATTAATTGTGTCCACGTGGAGCTGTAACTAAGTAGCTGAAACAAATAAAACCAAAGTAATATTGTTTCCTTTTAAAATATTTCACTTAATTTGTGGAAGAGGTTTGGGCTCATTAAAAATAGACCATCTCCCATGAGGGCTTTATCCTTTTCTTCTCCAAGTCTCTCAACCAATCCTTAGTAATGCACATAGCAGCACACTCCTCCTCGGCACAGCCCTGGCTGGAGCCGCTCTTGTTTGACTCAGCAGCTCCTGCCGTGCTCGGCAGCGAGGGCAGGCAGTGCTCCTCTGGCTAAGCAAAGCGAGGCCTCGGTGTCTTCTGATGCGTCATTGCTCTGAAACAAACCGTCAGTGTTGCTGACTAAAATTTCCTCCTTCCACCTCCAGCTCGTTAGGAAACTCCACTCCCTCCTCCCACGTTAAGGTTTGGCTACCCATAGTTGTGGAAATAACAATATGTTCATTGCAAACGAAGGGGCGAGAAAAGCTTAGACCTCAGTTAGGGCTTACTTAGTTGAAGCTATTGTGCAGGCACTTGGCTTCTTCTGGTGGATCTTAGTCTGCTCCCTAATCTTTCGAGGTGAGCGATGAATCAGTTACGGGTGACATCAGAAACCGCTGTGTTGTCAACAGACCGTGACAATTCCTTTCCCTGACCTAATGTCAATCACAAAGCAGGGGACAAAGCAGATGAGGTAGAGGTGAAGAGCAACCTGGAGCAAGGGCGTTAGGCTGCAAGAGCAACCTCTGGAAGAGATCAAAAGATTCCACAAATTCCTTTCCTGTTTAACACCGTTTTTGCATCCTCATCGTATCTTTTCCAAGTCCACTTCTCCAAAAGAAAGGCATCTGCAACCATGACTCTAAAGAAAAATGGGAGAAGATCTGGTAATTCCACACAGTGAACTCTTCCACTGCTGCTGTGCTCTGACCCGAAAAGTTCTCCTGCTGCAGTGTAACTGAGGCAATGGCAAGACCCAAGGATGGATGAATGATGTGGATGCCCCATCCCTGGAAGTGTTCAAGGCCAGGGTGGATGAGGCTTTGAGCAACCTGGTCTAGTGGAAAGTGTCCCTGCCCATGGCAGGCGGCTGGAACTGGATGAGCTTTAAGGTCCTTTACAACCCAAACCATTCTATCATTCTATGATGGAAGGATCTGACCAAAGGGTGCCAAATACACAAGCGTTTCACACAGGGCAGAAGCTGAGACTGTGATCTCTGCACTAGCGCGTTTCACTAGGTATTAAAGCCCTGTTGGCATCTAATGTCTTTCCCCTCTCCCCCTCTACTGATGGGGCCCCAAATACTCACCAGGTTATCTGTTATCATATGTATGTTATGGAATATATACTTCAGCCCTATTTGATGAAGACATTTCCATAAAATTGGATTCTGTGATCCTTCTCCAAATATCTCCTTTTGTTTTGTGGGCCCAGTTGCACTGTAGAAGAATTTACACCAATGTCACCAGGCAACAACTGAACTATTCATGAGGACATCCCAGCCAAAAGATGTACAGGAGTTCAGAGGCTCCCCAGTGCTGGGTCATTCCAGTTCTTCTCACTGGTTTTCTTCACCTTCTGGGGGGCAAGCCACATCTGGGAAATTACTGGTGTCCTGCTGTTCACTATGGACACCACTGGGGCCCAGGATATGGTCTTGTAAACTGTGATTAGATCTACAAAGCGAACTCTCATTATGTCCTCTCTAGGTCTTTAAAAACACATTTCTCTAACTGCTATGATTATATTCAAATTCTTTCATTTTGGTAATAACATCATCCACATTTTCCTCTCTCCTTCCTTTTTCTGATCATAACCTTCTTAGGCACAATAGAAAAGTCATCCCTTAATTCTCTTTTCTCCCCATGCTCTCTGCCTTTGGGCATGATCACTCTCCTCCCCAGATTAAAACCAATATAAACAGCTTCTCTGCTCTGGGTGAGCTAAACCATAAGTGTGGGGCTTTTCTGGACTATATTTAAAAGTAACTATCATCAGTCTTCTCATGGCATCACCATCAGTATTATTAGTAGTATTATTGTTTATGCTAGAGCCCCCCTTAGAGCTGATAGCCAAGATCAAGGCTTGACAACTGTTCAGATGCTGTACAGCCATATTGGGAACGCAGTCTTTGCCCTCAACAGCCTGAAATACATCTCACCAACTCAGACATGAAACAGTGCAGAATGGGTGAGACACTGTCAGTGTGAGAATCAGAACCCAGCTCAATAAATCCTGTCGCTGCCACTCCTCTGCTGCCTCTCTGCATAATGTGAACTCTGCCTTCTGCAGCCTCTGCTGATCATCAACACGGCTGTACCAAATGCTTCGAAGCCAAGAATTGCCATTACTCAGCCCCAGGAAACACACTCCCAGCAACTGGCTGGGATGGCCTAAAATCTTGTCCTCACCATAAGAACCATGGGAGAATTTGACTGGGATGAAGACTTCTGCCCCGAGTGTACTTATTCCAGAGTATAATGTTCTACTCCAGGCAGACACTAGTTCCACATGACTTCAGAAGAGCAGAGGAGTAGTAAATGCTCCATCCCTGGTGGTGTTCAAGGCCAGGTTGGACAGAGCCTTGGATGACATGGTTCAGTGTGAGGTCTCCCTGCCCATGGCAGGGGGATTGGAATTGGATGATCTTAAGATCCTTTCCAACCCAAACCATTCTGTGATTTTATGAATTCAGGATCACCTCTCAGCCCATAAGAGCTGGCCCTGCTGACTCCACAAGGTACTGTAGCATGTGGGAAAAGGCATCTGACCACAGCAGGATAACTTGATGTGCCAAAGGCGTTCTGGCATCCTCTGAGGATGTAAAACTTATGTACCCAACAGAGGACTATGTACTGCTTATATCAGATCTGTAAAGAAACGTGATATTATTAAATATTTAAAATGTCATGATTGTGACAGAATACAGCACTCAGATGTATCATGGGAAGCAAAGAGAGAAAAACATCCAGCAGCAGTTTGCTCCGCAATAGGGACTGTGCACACAGGTCACATTTGTCTATAAAGGTGTTTTCTGGATCATGTTTATCTATGCATCATAAATGGAGACACAGACATAAGAACACTTGGTTTTAAGAACTGAATCACTTGGCTTTGATAAGATTTTATCTAGATATAAACCGAATTGATTGACATCTCCTATTTGTTGGGTTTAATGAGCTCATAACTGCGCTTTAATTGGTTTAATTACCAGAACATAATACTACAGGTATGTAACGTAGACCTGTAATGTAAAGCTATACAATATATTATATATGCTATGCATAATATAACACAACTTGTAACATAACACAGTTTTTCATGAGAATTATTGCTCAGATTATCAGTAGTGAATGTTCAAGTGGCATGAACAGAAATTTCCTTTAAGTAATGTCTTCAAGAATCAGCCTTCCTTGTATCAGCTCCTAAGAACAACATACACATGAGGAAAATGTGAAGGCTGTGAAATATGAAATTACTTGTAGGCTAGGGCAGGATCTGGCTTTGGGTCTAAGCTCCTCTAAGATGTTTAAGCACCTAACTCCCATTTCCAATTTCCATGTTTGCTTCAGAAACACAGTTTTTTCCTCTAACTTTTTCCAAGGCTGGCTCAATGCTCACAGCCTTTTTTCAACCTATTTATTGTCTCCATTTTGGAAATGGCTATTAACAGTCATCCAAATACAATTGTTTAGGTCTCTCTGGTGACACAATCAGCATCTGGGAGAAACACATAGTGTGCAATTGTGTCTTTAATTATCTTTCCATTGTGAATAGAGATGCTGTGTGCCAAGGCAGTTATTACACCTGACAAGGACAATGTATTTACAATGGGTGTTTATACAGGCTAATTCCTTGTAACAACACCTTGACAGAAAGTGCTCCACCTGCCTTCATGTTCCCTATCGCAATTGCTAATTAATATTATTGTGCTGAAAATGATCCTATCAGTTAGTCTCTCCTGTCATAACCACTGCTCCCTGCTTAGCTATGCCCAATTAAGCTGCTGCTGACTCACATGCTGCTAAGGACGTTCAGCAGCCAGACTTCTTCTTGCTGATCCAATTCACATTGCTCTGCTTGGTTTTTAGATGGAGCACTCCATTCACTAAGGTGCCCCTGCTGTGGAGCACGCTTCCCAGGCAGTATGCCTTTCCACTCAGCAATTCTCACACCTTACTATTGCTGCTGATTCAGGGTTTAAAACTATATTCCAGTGTGTAGTAGAGTTCTCCTTGATTTAATTGGTTAATATAGAATCACAGAATGGTTTGGGTTGGCAAAAGACCTTCAGATCATCCAGTTCCAACCCCCTGCCATGCGCAGGGACACCTCACACTAGACCATGTTGCCCAAGGCTCTGTTCAACCTGGCCTAGAACACTGCCAGGGATGGAGCATTTACCACTTCCTTGGGCAGCCTGTTCCAATGCCTCAGCACCCTCATAGTAAAGAACTTCTTTATGTCTAACCTGAACTTTCCCTATTTATGTTTGAACCCATTACCCCTTGTATGGTGACTGTAAGTATGTATTTGAAGCCAAGTGGCATCTGATTCACTTTGCCAGTCGCGCTGGTTAAAATACAGTTGTGAATGCAGTCCATGCTACTGGACAAAGTTATTCTGCAGGACACTGCACACAACGGTTGATGCTGTTCTGAATTTCCTGTATATTTGTCAAGCTAAAACGATGCTTATATTGCTTGCATGAATAAGACTTGATCCTTCAAACTGACACAGAGTGGAACTGCTTTGCAGATCTTGTCTCTGGGAATTGTGGCAGGGACTGGGAAAGACAGCAGGGAAATCCTGCCATCAGTCCCAAAGAGTCAGGTTCATAGAGTGACTTTGCTTTGTGCAAGATGCTTTGGGCTTGATTTTGGGCTTGCATCTGGGTATGTAAGGATACAAACAGCAGTCTAATGGGATTGTCAAAAGGACATTACTCACCCCTCGGGAGGCCGCCTCTTCTGCCAAAGAGCTCCTACACGGCTCAGCTCAAATTGCAAAACCTCCACGTTCTTCTGTTTCTCATCTGTAACAAGAGAGATAATTACAGAGGTGCTAAGAGGATAAACGTAGTAAAGTCTGGGAGGTGCTCAAGAAAAAGCATGTAAGATAGATGGGGCATGACTAGTTACTCCTGTCTCAAGGCATGCCTGAGCGCTGCAGGGACACAGACAGGGCTTCTGGCCAGCATCAGCCATGATGTCTCAGTGGCCAAGGGGGCTGGGTGAGGGCTCAGAGGATATAGGGTTATCTCTAGGTTTGCTTCTGATCAGCTGCTGAGAGATGCTGCACTCTGAAACATTCTTGGGCCTTTTCAGGTATGAGGATGTCCCCTGGAGGAGCACTTTAAATGACATCTCTGTGCAACTAAAACATCAGTGAATCACATGGAGGGGGGAAAGTCCCCAGTCTCCTCCAACTCTCCAAGAAAGACTGGCTTAAAATTTGGAGAAGCATTCCTGCTGGAAGCTGCTGCTCACTCATCCCAGCTTGCTGGGCCATCCTCAGCAATAAAGCTGCTTGCCACATGTTGCTCAGTGGCCCTGCAGTGATGGTGTCAAATGAGTGCAGTGCTGTGAGGGGACCCATCCTGCCAGCCCAGCAAGCAGAAGGAAATGAGACCTTAGGAGAAAGGATGTCACATAAGGAGCCACTGCCTTTTTCCCTTGGGATCAGCTCTGCAGTGCATGTTATGGATTAAACTGTAGGCAAGTGTAATGAAATCTTGGGGAGGGACAGGCAAGTAAGTAACCCATGTGCACATGCCTTCCTGTGGATAAGGCATTCAGACTGCCTGTCCTTGAACTAACCAGTAACAACAAAAGTAGAGGGAGAGAAACAAATAAAGCTTAAGAATTGAATGCATCTTCCAGTGCACTAAATGAAGCAGTGAATCGAACAGGCTAAAGGAAGAGATGTGGAAAAATCAAAGACTCATGAAACCATGCGATTCTTATAAAGGCAGGGAAAGGAAATAATTAATTCCCAGAGAAATGCAATGGTGCCGCTGCAAAAGGAAGCAGGTGGTCAGCACACCGTGTCTGTGCATCCTGAGCGCTAAGCAGGATTAAGGCATTACAGAAAACTTTCTGCTTAAACCTGTTCCCAAATCACTCCAGGATACCGTGCCTGCAAGGAGCACCTTTCCTTCGGAGGCCTTCCTCCTGTGTTTGGAGAAGGGCTGGAAGGTGGCTGGGATTGACCACAGCTCAAATATCCTTTATGGAAGTATTTGTTCTTTACAGGGACTCCTATGGGAGCTGAAGGTGCGCAGAACCTCACTGGATGAGCCCTTGCTGTCGCCACTAGTAACAATAATAAAGGGCAGGGAAAGAAATAAGACTGCAACTTCCTTCCAGCCTTGAGGTCTGTGTGTAATGGGAGAGCAAGGATTCCACAGGGCACTTGATTCTGCTTTCTCTGAAGCAGTGGTAGACAGAAACACTTGCTAAAACTTCAGAACCACCATGTATGTGTGTGGTTCTATACAGTAAGTATAAGGCATACAGGTATCTTTGAAATAAGCTGTTTTACCAATAGGGAATCACGCGGAAAAAGCAGTTCCCTTTTTGACTGCACTTTGCTTTGAAAGGAAAACATCCAGAGGAGAAGAGAAAATGCCAAGAGCACTGCAATTGTGCCATTTCAAAATTTACAGCATGAAGCATTTGGCTTTTTCACCCTCAAGTTTTCATGCGGATCATTATGCAAGGCTGAAAAGCAGGAATGGAGACAAGAGACTTGGGCTCGCTTTTTGGGAGGGAAGGTGGAAGAGAAGTTTGTGTGATGGGGTGACTCTTACACTCCGAAGTCGAATTTCAAAATGCCTTCTTGCCAGGGCATTCCATTTGGAGTATTGCTTCTGTGTCTTTCTGTATTACCACTGTCACCACAGGAGCCACACATCCCATCTCCTGGTGTCCTAAACCTCACAGAGCCCACAGCTGTGGAAACTGAGGCAAGGAGCAAGTACCTGATTTTTAGAACCTAACAAAGAGCATCACTAACAGCAGTAGGTGACGAGCTGGATATTGTGAGTCTGCGATCCGCAGCTCTGTCGAAAAGAAATAAATCCCCTTTTCTACTGTGTTTTGAGTCAGCCTGGGTAACGACAAGGAGCCTTTTGTTGTTGCCATTCAAGGAGTTGGCTGTTGGTTCGAGCTCTTGCGCTCACATTAAGGAGGCAGCGAGGGGGGAGCCGAGCGCCGATCCCAGCGGGAACACGTGTCCTAGGTTGGCCCATCTGCAAAATAATTCTTCTGCGTGTCATCTAGGCCAAAAGCTGAGTCTGGGATCTGCTGCATGGCTAAGTTCCCTCCCTGCGGCGGCCAGAGCTTGCGTGGTGACAGTTACGGGGAAGGGAATTGAAATGTTTGGGGGAGTTACGGCATGGAGAGTGACATCTGTGGCAATGGGCTCATAAGTGAAGGATTTGGTGTAATACACGTAGCAACAAGGTCACAGTCCCAAAAACTAGGGCTTGCCAGAGAAATGAATGAAATCAGCCAGGCTATGATTTGGGTTGATTGGTTCCAAATTCATCTTTAATCTAAGTTCTTTTCAAGGTCATCATAACTGGGCTTGCGTGAATCTTGGGGCCTAATCCTCATCTGGTGCAAGCTGGAGAGAATCCATTCGATTCAAGGGAGCCTCGCCAGTTTACATCAGATTGTGGTTATTTTTAAGTGCAGGTCATTTAGAAATATGTAAGTACTTACTTCCAGCTATACTTTTGGAATACAGCAAGTCAAGCCAAAACCTACCAGGATACAGAGCATCCAATTTTTTATTTCTTTTCCAAGCCATGGGACAAGTATCTCCTATGTTGAATCACTTACACTGTAATGCAGGAAACCCAAGGATGTAAACAGCAACGAGGTCTCCATGGAGTATTTCCCAATCCAGCTTGTGCCAAGAAGGGATATCCAGAAGGGTGCTAGGCAGTGGCAGTCAAATGTGCCACTAGGAGAAAAACTGCAGGAGAGTAAGGAAGACATCGCTCACCTGCAGCCTCCAGAGCCTCCCACATCCCAGCCCTGTTTCTCCTTTATCATCTCTATGCTCTCACTGGTTTCTCCCAGGCTCACCCCACTCATGGAAGAGGTGCAGCTCCCTTAAAATAAACAGGGCCCTTTCAGATTATACCAGATGAGGATTTGGCTATGGAATTCTGACAAGTCCAGGTCTGACAGCCCTGTGAAAGAACTTGGATAAGAGATGTATCTGGAAGCAACAAAGCCTTGAACAAACCCTGGGCCCTATCTCAGCTTTCAAAACCGGCCAGCTTCAGCTTCCAGACCCCCACATAGCCCCTCTCCAGGTTGAATTTTACAGCTTCAATATGGAAGACCAACCAGCTGGAAGGTTGACTGGAAGAGCAGCCTCACTACTGGAGCGAGCTGGCTCTGAACATGCCCTTCATGTAAGAGGGAGTGCAGACTTTGTGAATGTTTTGAGTCTTTGTAGCTAGTGATAATCTCTCTTCCTACATCCCAATTTCTAGCCATGGTGAATTGCTTCACCCTCAGTCCCGCAGACCTGCATCCGTGGAACATTTCCCTCCATGGGAACAGTCACAAAGTAATGAATAAATGCATTTCCCCAGGAAGGAGAGACCATTCGTAAGTTTAATAAGACAAAAAAGGTGGTTACCTGGGCTGAACATCATTTGGTAGGTCAGATGAAACAGCAGCAGCTCACTGAAAAAGAGAGAAAAACCCTCACTAGCAGTGGTCTTAGAGAAATGAGGTTAAGACCCAGAGATGATCCAGGAACCAGCAGCTCTTCCACTGCCTTCCACAGCCTCTAAAGACGTCAGTGCAATGGTCTCCAAACAAGACTGAGACCTCTGGGTATAACACCAACAAATGATATCACCTAATGAAGTAGTGAGTAGGAGAAATACCTATTTTGCTCTGTGCTGAGGTGTTGTTTGGTTGGGGTTTTCAACATCCTTGAATAATTGTCTCCCTTAGCAAAAGTGGTGCACATAATATGTGGCAGAGGCAAAAGAGCTATATTAAAAGCTATAATTACTGCTGTTTAACAATTAGTAGCTCCATTTGAAGATGTTTTGAGTAAGATTTATGGTATGTTTTCTAATTTTTAATTTCTAATTATGGGGAAGCAGCTTAGCCTTGAGTATTTCTCCTCTAAAAAATGTAAAAGAATACATAGTGCACTTTTGGTCTGTAGAGATGGATACAGAAACAGGAAAAAACATATAGGAAGGAAAGGATAAGGGGTGTTTTTTTTGTGTGTGTAAGCAAGGTTTAAACAGAATAATTAAATTTACTATAATCAATAAAACGTGTGAGTCAAGTTTATTGAAGTGGCTATTTCCCATTGCATAATTTCCCTGGGGAACTTTCATTTTTAATTCAAAAATCATAATAAAAAATAATAATTAAAAAAAACCAACCCCCTGAGCACTTACTGTAAATATGCCAGCATACGTGTGAGGTTAAGAAAAGCACGAGCCTATACCGAGGAATCAAAGAGGGGCTTACCACTGCTTTGACACTAATTGTAAAAGCTGCACATTTTCTAGAACCATAATCAAATCTTAACTGCCATGGGGGACTCGTTCAGCAGCTCACAGTAATTCTAATAAGATGCAGAGCCTTTCACCTTTAGGTCACCAGTTCAAACCAACTTTGGGCTGGTTAGTAAACAGAAGGTAAATCCAGGTCTGGTGCTGGGCAGAAGTGGGAAAGGGTTTTCTCTTCCGTCCTATGTCATCCGTGCTTTCCCATGGGTTGACAGGGCCTCCTCTGGGGACTAAGCTCATCTCCTTTGGTCTCAGATCCTCCCTTCTGGAATGGGGATGGGAAATCCTTCTTGCTGCTCTTCCTCTGTTTCAGCTGGAACCTCCCCAGATGCCCCACAGCGCCTACCACCAGAGACCCTGATCTTGCATGGGTTTTTCCAACACTTCTGTAATGCCCCTCCCAAGGAAACCTACACAGCGATATCATCTCTGTCCCACTTCCATGTACACAATTCCTCTTAATTAATTAGTTCATTTACTTGAGCACCACATGGAAAACAGACTGATCAGACATGTAATTGAAAACAACAGGCCCCCACCCCACTGCCCTGGGCCCCATAACAAACAGCTCTGCCAACAACGGCAGCGCTTGACAAGTGAAGCCGAGTCCTTCAGGTAGAACTTCTTGCAACACTGAGCTGTGAAATCCCAGCTCCAGCTGAGGCCCCTGGTACTGCCAACAGCCCTAAAGCATCTCGTGTTGTGTGCCAAGCATCCCCTGCTACACCAGCATCTGGATGGGTCCTGCTCTACTGCATCATCCACGAGGAAGCCGTGAACAATTTGTGCTTCAAGCTGTGCAAACGTCAAAATACAACTACTTAATCCAAGCAGCCTAGAGACAGATTGCCACCAACACAGACAGTGTCCTCTTGTCACCATCACAGACAGCATCCTCTCACTCTCCCTCCCCTTTCCCACACTTGGGGGATAACTTGGAGGCTGCTTTACTACATAGTTATAGTATGCAACCCCATCTTTCTGGCTACAAAGATATGTACACTTCTGTGTATGTGTTTGGGTAAATATAATAGTCTGAGGCCTTAATTGTGTCTCATTAATACAGCTGAGGAGTTGAGGAGCTCTAAGGAACAATCCATCCATTGTCCTCTACACATCTGGGTTAATGTTTCCTCCTTGGATTAGTCTGTACCAGTGTGTTCCCTCTCTGCTCACCACAAGCTAGCAGTGCCAATTTCCCTCCATGGCTGCTCCAGTGACAGCTGTTTACTTGGAAGCTTATGGATTTGATATATGGGTGCTAGCCACAAATTAATGGAATACTTTCCAGATGCAACGTCTTTAAATATTCAAACAATAAGCCAAAAGCACTAAGCTGGTTTGGCCATTTTTTCTCCTAATTCTGAGTGTCTCTCAGAGATGATGTAAACATGATTTCATGGGGCAATAACCAGAACACTTGAGAAGTTTTAAAGGTGAGCAGCACCACAAGGTGCTGGAGAGTAGATGGTGCCATTTTTCATCTGAAATCAATACCTGAAAAGGCCAAGGAGAGCAGAACAAAGAAGAAAATAAAACAAGCACTGAGGTTAACCATAAGCAATGGACAAAGATCACTGAAATGCCTCAAAGCCTCTCCTTGCTAGATGTCATCTAGGAATGCTCCTCAAGTAGAAGAGTTGATCCTCAGCTCAGAAATGGAGACCAAGATCTACCCCAGGTGTGCCTTTCTCCCAAGCCAGACCTTCAGCAATGGTCTCATGATCTCAGTTTGCATTTATATTCACCCTAATGCTGAGGACTGAGACAAAAGGAGCATCTGAGGGTGAAAATCTGCATACAAAAGCAGGCAAAATTGCTTTGGAGCTGGTGTGATTTTGACTATTCTCACCTTTGCTCAAAGTTTTCTATTTGACCTGTTGTCGACTTCAGTGAAGCGGAATGGTCCACCAAAGCTGGATGATAATGATTTATACCACCGCAGAGCCTAGGCCAAGATGTGTAACTTACTTCTTGGCCAACTTACATCACGCTTTTTCTTCCCTTATTGCATTTTCTTTGGCATTTTCTTCTTTGCATTTACTCATTTTCTTCCATGGAATTTTAACGTGACCTGGACAGTTGAGCAACCAGCGTATGGATTTACTATCCATTAGTGAAAGGGAAGAACCTTCTTACACACATTTATCTACTTAAAAATACCAACAAACATGAGCTGTGTGGCCTTATATTGGAGGAGGGCAAAGAGAGCTCCAAGGAACCCTATTTCAATTTAAAACCTGAAATGCTCCCTGTTTTAAACTTTCTCCTTTATTCCCTCCAATGTTACGAATTAGAGAATGGTTATCATCAACTTCACTGAACTGAAAACTTCATTATCTAATGGGAGGAAAATAAGCATCATTTTACAAGAGCTTTAAAGCAACAACAGTAATTGCCCCAAACTCTAGTCCACAGGCAGAATGGACATCTGCTAGAAAAATATGACTATTCCCCCACCCACCACCCTCAAATTTAGGGATTTGTGGAATATGGGCCTTGCCTGAAGTTGCTTGGCAGAAATCCCCATGTTAAGTTCTTATTTAATGAAATCATGTGGTAGTAAATCAAACCCAGAAACAGGAATACGTAAATCCACCACATCCTTTGAAAAAAGTATGGTTTGACTCTGTCAACTCAAGTTGCCCGGGCAATGAATTATCTGTATTTGTCAACTAACAAGAGATCATTCAAGAGTCACCCACCTCTTTGTGTAATTTCCTAATCTTTAGTCTTAAAGCCAAGCTGAGAGCCAGCACAAAATGGGCAGGTCACTTGCATAAAGAGCTCCTAAAACTAGCACTAAGCTGCCACATCTTTGCAAAGTCTGTGCAAATGGCCCAAAATATAAAGTTTGGACCCTCTTACAAAGTGTTCACCTCAGAATGTTACAGGAAAGGTGGCAAGTGAGGTTCATAAACACCATGAGGGAAAATGGGTAGAATGGGAAGACCATTATTAACTTAATAAACAAGAGGTTGACTTCCCCTAGTACCTACTAAAGTCAACAGAAGTCTTTACACAGTTCCATCCTACCTGGTTTTCTCTATGCATCCACATGGATGATCAGGGGACTGGAGCACCTCCCATATGAAGACAGGCTGAGGAAGTTGGGGCTGTTCAGCCTGGAGAAGAGAAGGCTGCGTGGAGACCTCAGAGCAGCTTCCAGTATCTGAAGGGGGCCTATAGGGATGCTGGGCAGGGACTCTTCATTAGGGACTGTAGTGACAGGACAAGGGGTAATGGGTTAAAACTTAAACAGGGGAAGTTTAGATTGGATATAAGGAGGAAATTCTTTCCTGTGAGGGTGGTGAGGCACTGGAATGGGTTGCCCAGGGAGGTTGTGAATGCTCCATCCCTGGCAGTGCTCAAGACCAGGCTGGACGAGGCCTTGGGTGGGGTGGTTTAGTGTGAGGTGTCCCTGCCCACAGCAGGGGGGTTGGAACTGGATGATCTTAAAGTCCTTTCCAACCCTAACTATTCTATGATTCTATGGTTCAGAGCCAGGGAGAGGTGCTGGGTAGACTTTGTTTTCTGATAAATGCATTGTAACTTAGTCACAACTATCAGAACAAAAGGGCTCTATCATAGGGAGAGCTCATGAACCTTTGAAGCTTCCTATGGAAAATATGTCAAATCAATGATGTTTGCAGAACATAACCGATCTGTCAAATTTGCCTTAGGGATAATAAAACATGGATTCTGTGCTCCTATGATTTCATTCACTGATATGTCCAAGAAAGCAATCAGAAAAGAGAGATCATTATTGACTTCACAAACAAGATTCAAGAAGAGAGGGATATTATATTTAAAGCAGCAAATGGAAAGTGCGTTGTACCAGATCCTGCCTTTGTGCCCATTTTGATCATGAGCCACCCTATGCTGCTTGAAATTAATTTGGCCATTCTATTATACATGGATCCCCCTAAGCTCTCCAGTCTTTAAAGCAACTTTAATGACAAAACATCCAAGATGTGGTATCCTACCTCATCCCCTGCCATTCTGAACTTCTAATTTAAGGTTATTTCTACAACCAAGTACTCAGAAGTACTAAGATCATGGTTTTAGGCTTGTCAGTCTGTCTTGGATCCAATATAGTTTCAGCATTGTGATTCATCGCTGTGAAATCAATATGAAACGAACTTCTCAGAACTCTCGGGATTTCTCAGAATGCCCATCTGAGTGCCATTTGGGAAGATCTGACTTTGTAATGAAGCATTTCTGATGGAGTTAAAAAATGTAAACAGCTC